CGTCAGCCTGTTACTACTTCACTGAGACCCGAGTCAAAGGTTCCTTGTCAGTACTTACCTGGTTTCCTGCTGGGTGTGATGTGTGTAAGACCCACCCACCATCTGTATTGGTTCTTTCCCCCTGGAGAAACTGAGTGCGCTCAGGAGAGACCGCGCAGTGTGTTGCCTAGCGATACTTTTAGCAGTATGTCTGGTCCTTAGACACATTTATATTTTGTAGACAGAATGTGTGTTCTTGTGTTAAGGATCTGATATGGAGGTCATTAATCTGAATGCGTACTACCTCTCCCTCGGCTCATTGTTTGCACTCTTCCAGCTGTTTGTAAATCACTGTTTCTAAATGCAGAGAGCATCTCTAATTCATTTGTTGTCTGCCTCAAACCCTGAGACCACCGTCTCTTGATCTGTACATTTTAACAATTAAAGTGACACCAATCCACTCTTTAGTTTTATTTCCTTTTGTTGTAAAAGTAATTAAGCTCTCTATTTTTATCTAGCTTAACCTAACTGCTACTGGTTTTGCCAGACAACATGTTGTGCTACCTCAACACCCACTCACCTCTTTGTCATTTAAAGAACTCCCTCTTCAGTACAATGCAGATTTGTGATATGTAAAAAGGCTAACTGTTAAACTGTGGCAAAACCGCCACGTAGAATGCAGTCCCTGCTGCTTCTGTCCCACATGTATTATGTTTGACAGGTCTACATAACGAGGAGTGGAGACAAAAATAGTCTTGCGGTTTTACTGTAAACCGCACAAGGAGTCAGCATCTTTAGTTGTTGGAGCTCAAACATTCTTCAATATGCTCCAAATTTCTTATGGATTACAACATTCCAGCCCTGAGGACATCTACACACATATTCCCTCATGAAAAAATTGCAGAATTTTAACATTATTTGAAAATAAAAGCAATTAAATCCAGCTTATTTTTATGGTTTGGGAGTCAGTCATGAAAGTGATTGGGTAGAAATTACAATTATTTCTACCACACATTTTCGAATTGAGGTGTCATTATACAATACTGAATTGATTGGGTCACATGACAGAAGCTATTGAAAAAAAAAATAGACTTGTTAGAATCCCTAATAAAAAGGTGTACTACTTGCCCAGTGCAACATGTTATGGCTTTTGTGTACAAGTGTATAAGTGTAAGCTACTGAACATAAACTTAATATATTTTGAAAAGATGCTAGATCCCTGATTGACTTCTTAGGAATGCCATCGCAGTTCAGATTAGTTTACAAGTAAGAAAATGGCCCCACTGATATAAGATAAGACACTCAAAATATGGATTTAAAAAATGTGGCAGAAAGTGTAAGAACCCTGATATTTTCTATCCACATTTTGTTAGTCAGAATTAATAACATTTAACAACCATGGCATCACAATTTTATATGTACCACAAATGTTCACCCCTTGTACCAAATAGATGTGATGAGGTCTTACTAATGAACTGCACACATTGCTAATGTTGCAGATACAGTAAGGCTAACATCATGAGCCACATTAGAGTAAACAATACAGTAGAGTTAGAGGCAAAAATGCTTTTTAGTTAGCGTTGAAATGATTATCGTTTTTTCCCCCTGATGTCAGAACACTGGTCTTCATCAGTCTCTGCTGTCCAGCCACTGTCTGCTGTATAGTTCAACTACACACCTGTAGAGGACAACAGCCTGGTCAGATGCAGTGCACAATCAGCACAGAGAAAGCAGATCCTACAGCCAGACCCAGAGTGAGGAAGAAGGACATGACGACTCCTGTGGCCTCGGCCAGCTCTCGAGGGACCACCTTAGGGCCGTAAATCATTGGCAGAGTGCCTAAGTAGCCATTAGTGAGGCCTAGCAGGCAGTTAAAGACCACAGGGAACACGTCGTGGCCGAAAAGCACAGTCTTGAGGTGGTCCCTGGGCTGGTAGTTACAGAACATGAGGAGGGGCACCATGACGGAGCGGCACAGCACCAGGGCAGGCAGCACCCTGCTGGTCGGCCCTGGGACCTGCAGCCAGGCCGTGCACTGCCGGCCACAGAAGTCTGATATGTTGTACAGGAGGAAGCTGGTGATGGGCACAAAGTAAGTGGTGGTCCAGGGGCTGCCACTGTCTTTATTGGCAGACTGGATCCCTGAGGAGACTGCAGGGAACACCATGATTGAGACACAGAAGACGTAGAAGACGCTCAGGCCCAGCACCCATGTCTTCCTGAGGATCGGCCGCAGCGGTGGGACGGAGACGGCCCCCTCGCTCGTCCCCCCTGAACCAAGGTGCGTCGCTGCCATCATGTAGTGTCTGGAGAGAAGAGAAGCATACATGTCACTAGTACATTTAAAACATGTTTTGTTGATCCTATAAATACAGAAATGACTTGGACATATTGGCCCTTTGACAGAATGATATGCAGATTAGAAAATTGGGGCTCTTTGCTGGTTTATCTGCAACGCACAATATCCATAATATTTGTGGCAACGGCAAGTGGGGTAGGGTCGGAGGAGGATGGATGGACGTTGTTTTATCATAATGCTCTGTTGGTGACCAGTTAATATTTTCTTATTATTTTAAAAAGCATAACTGTGTCAAATTCAGTATCAAATAAAGACATAAATAATTATTTGGGTGCTGTGACCATAATAAAACAATAGCTATGACCAGTGGCGTTTCTATATGTACAAAAGTGGTGGGGCACAGAAAACTTAGATGTCTATATATAAGCTTCTGCAGTCAGGTGCATGGCTGGTGAGGCAATGGCACTGGCTCTTCAGGTTTACAAATATAATATTTTGACCTAAATCAAAATATAATATTTCAAAAGCTTTTTTTGTCTGTGCTTCGATTAATTTTAACCAGACCGACAGTTCAACAAACAGGATACCCAAAATAATGTAATTTTATCAGTTTAAATGTTGATTGTTCTCTCTTAGTAACGAGTCGCCATTTTCATACAATTGCGGCTCTTACCTTGAGCTTGAGGATGAAGTCCATTTGGCTATCCTTGTGAAACGATAAGTCTGCTATTACTTTTTGTAAAAGTCCTCCCTTATCTTCTTGTGTCTTCAAAGTCTATCATCAAGTTACATTCCAGTAGATTTATGATTCGAAAATATCAGCAAAGTGTAGGGTGGATACTTATCCGGCTGAGACAAAACGTGCATCTTATCTAACAGGGTTAACGTGTTCCCACAGATTTTCCCCCTTAGATTTTGAGCTATTTTACTAAAATCCTATGAGAAATCTCATTGCTGATTTGTGGACGGGAAACCCATGCGAAGCTTACTGTCCTGCGGTTTTTGGGACGCGTCTCTCCTCCTCCCTCTTCACACACGACACGTACTGTACNAGTGGTTCGATGCTTCATTCAAAGCTTCATTTTGCCATCACTAGTAGATACCTTGTTTGTTTTAAACATCATAAATACACAAACAACAATGAATACTTACAGGTTGTGTACCCGAATCTCCCGCTGGTCCAAACAAAGTAGGAACAGCATCGTTCTTCAGTGCCCTACGCTGTACATATCCGGCATGAATCGCTGAAAGGTTCGAGAGGCTTGTTTCGTGAAAGGCTGGCAGAGGGTGCGGCCATAGCTCTGGGCGTGGCTACTGGGTATCCCTACGTAGCGATACCCAGGAAGAAAATGAGAAATCTCCAACGAGGTGTTTTGGGGAGGTATATTCTGTGTTAGAATTTTACTCGCTACAGGGTGTACTTTGAGGGTTTTTGACTGCAGACTGTTTACATGCATAAAAACCTTCATAACACACAAAGAGCAGTGGCATTTCTATATGTACAAAAGTGGTGGGGCACAGAAAACTTAGATGTCTATATATAAGCTTCTGCAGTGAGGTTCATGGCTGGTGAGGCACTGGCTCTTCAGGTTTACAAATATAATATTTTGACATAAATCAAAATATAATATTATTTTCAAAAGCTTTTTTTGTCTGATGCTTCGATTAATTTTAAACAGACAGTTCAACCTGTCTGTTTAAAATTAATCGAAGCATCAGACAAAAAAAGCTTTTGAAAATAATATTATATTTTGATTTATGTCAAAATATTATATTTGTAAACNCTGAAATCTCCCTTTTTGTATTTTCACAAATAGAATAAAGGTTTCACAAATCTGAAACTCTGTTATAAAGAATCTTTAGACTCTCTGGGATAATCCAGTCCAGATTTGATGAGTCTAGGTCTAGTGGTTTTAGATCAGGACCTGGTCTAATGTGGTCTACATGTGAAAAAAGCACTGAAATCTCCCTTTTTTGTATTTTCACAAATAGAATAAAGGTTTCACAAATCTCAAACTGGGTTATAAATAATCTTTAGACTCTCTGGGATAATCCAGTCCAAATAAATCGGCTATGCAGCGATTTAAGAGGTTCAAACACGGAGGATTGTTCGCTCAGCGCTGTAAATTAAATGTCTCTTAACTTTCCCCTTAACTGCCGAATCGGATGCTCTGAATCGGAAGCCAACTTCAGCGTCGTGGTTATCGTTGTGTATTTCCAAACATTGTAAGTTAGCAGCAAATGTTTTTTTAAATCCTGTATACATCCTGTATACAAATGTGGTATTAATAAGCAAATAATATCTATAATAATATGTTTTGATAAAGCACATGTATTTCATTTGTAAATAAGTGCTTTTATTTTTAGAACCGGAAATGTAGTATGCTACAAATTCAACAGTAACAACACAACTTCCGGTAAGTGGTCCTACTTTCAGATTAATAGCGTGAGATACTTTTTACTTTTAAATGTTTTGTTGATTTCAAAAATACCTTTAAAATAAACCTCGGGATGAGGTGAAGTTAAAAGTTTGAAAGTTAAAATAAGTATTATGGTACTAAAATGTACTATGTAATTGAGTAATATAGCAATTTGTTTCTGATTTGTTTAAATAATACTCTTATTTTGAAGGCTTCGTGTCGGAAGTCTTATTGTTGTTTACGCTGTCTGCTGCTCAGAGGCAAAGAAATATGTCAGTCAGCTGACCAGAAATGAAGTTGCTGTTAAATTTAATTTTTTTTCCACCCATCACTTGTTGTAAAGACAGAAGCAACATAAGGGAGTCTCCAACAATGAGGTAGGTTTATATTTAATTTAAAGAGCCCTACATTAAACCACCAATCGAGAAGGTTAGCTACAAACTTAGCTAACCTCTTATGTAAGTTTGAATGTTAACAGCGGTGTCGACAATAAACAATAACACTTTAGATACGTCTATTTGCTTGAAGATATTAACAACGAAGACTTTCGTAGAATGAGCAGAATATATTTGCTATAGACAATCATAAAACTGTCTGAAACCAGCTGCAGTGACACATACTTTGATTTCCACGACCAAGTCCGTGTAATAGCTTTTTCTTGGGTAAGCATCATGTGAATAGTGGTTCCTCATTAGAAGTGCTTAAGGATGCAAGGTCAGCGTTGTCCTGTCATGTCAGCCTTTTTAACCTCCTTAAATAGTTAAAGTAATAACCTCATATTGCGCAAGCAGGTGGTGCTGCTGAGGCCCCTTTTCTATATTTGTGTGTTTTGCCCAGACGATTCTCTGATTCCACCTCGTGACTGTTCCTGCATGCATGTTGTTGGCAATGTGAGGTTGTACTGTGCAGAACATGTGTGAAATTAAACTGGTCATAGCTAAGAGCAGAGGTGGGAAGTAACTAAGAACATTTACACAACTACTGTACTTTTGAGGTACTTTTACTTGAGTATTTTCATTTTATGATACATTATACTTCTACTCTACTACATTCAAAAAGAAAATAATGTACTTTTATTCCACTGCATTTATATAATAGCTTTACAACATACTCATTAAGTCACTAGAGAGTCAAATCATGTAATCATTTGACAAAAAGTCAATCAGAACTTTGTACATTATGAACAGTATGATGCTACTTGATGCAAAAATATGATCTAGAAATGTCCCATGAATAAATATAATTATATACACACATAAAGGCAATTTTTCTTACTTTTTACATTTTTTATTTCTTTTTCCTGCAGGACTTCAGTATTAAAACATCTTAATACTTCTTCCACCATCTTTACTATAAGTGCTAAATGCTGGATTACTTAATGTGAGATAGTATTTCACTTGGGACTGATTCTTGCTGTTGAAGAGCAGTGGGTTCACTTCCGCACACTGCTGCCAAATAGTTATGATTCCAGCGCCCCTCATTCAAATCGTTGATGCAGTGGCACAGTAAGACTAGGACAAAGTGTTTATGTCACATACCACATCTTCTGAATCGTGATGATGAGTCATTTTTAAAATTGTTAACCTTTCTGCGCCTGTTGATGTACTGTGTGTCCTGCTCAGTGTGTGCTGAACATGTTAAATAGCTTCTTTCTTGTGTGTCTTACATGCAAAGGGATAACACCTGTACATAAGCCCAGGATTTCATGTTATTTGTCACGGTTTATAAGTGACTCCTTGTCCTGCAGCATCACATGATCGGGACAATCGGACTGATCTCAACCAGCAACAGGAGACTATGGCCTCACAACGGACAGCCTGCCTTTTCCCTTCTGGACTACAAGTGAATGTAAGTAGAGCTCCAACTCTTATACTCCTTGTCAATAGAGTTGATTAGTCTTTCAAATGTCAGAAAAAGTCACTTTGCTCAGTGTTTCAAAAAGCCCAAATAATGTCCTGACATGTCTTGATGTGTCCACTGCTCAAAGATATACAGTTTAAAGTCGTAGTCACATTGAGCTGGAATCAGAGATCTGTTTTCCTTAAAAAAACAATTACACCTTAAACTTATCAATCATATGTGAAAATAGTGGGTGATTCATTTATTAATTAACAACTAATAAGCTAATCGCCAAAGCTCTTAATGAACCTCATAGCCAAACCCCACATATTTCTTGTTATCATTTCGCTGTGATTTTTTTTAAACTTGTTTTTTTTCTTCTTCTCATTCACAGCTCTCTGTTTGACACTTCCTTTCTTTGGTCTACTTTTACTGCCTTCCCTTTTCTCGCTTGCCTTTATTCTGTGAGCATCCTGTAGTCTGCGTGTGATGGAGGACTCGGAACCTGTGCAGCCCAGCCTCAACTCCTCCTACATCCCGGCTGCTCTGGGCCACCAGCAGTTATCTGAGGATGAGGAGAGCGAGGAGAGCGAGGAGCAGAACCCCTCAGCCTCCCTGCTGCCCAAACAATCCTCAGTGCCTCTGGCCGTGCGCTACAGTCCAGAGGACTCTTACTTTCTGGTTTACATCATCTTCTTTCTGATGGGCATCGGCTCCCTGCTGCCCTGGAACTTCTTCATAACAGCAAAACACTACTGGCTCTACAAACTGAGCAACGACACACATCACAGCGGCAGTGAGGAACAACGCTCAGACCTCAGCGTGAGATTCTAAATACAGCTCATGTTCACCATGCATGTGTTTACACAGGAAGATGCACATTTGTGGCATTCTACATGCTTTTCACATCCGTCATAGTAATGTGATTCCTCATATCTGTCATAGTACTGTGACAGATGTGAGGAATGTCTTTTCATATCTTACAGAAATCCATTGAGACACAATCATACAATTAGACAAGGTTAGTTAAGGTCAACTAAGATTAACGTATAGTCAGGTTGGCCAGGAAGATATGCTTCCAATTTATTTATTTATTTCTAAACTGAATGAATGTATCAGTTTCTGCTATTCTGAGATCAATTCTTGATTAGATTTGACTTAGAGATCTTAAAAAAATATAAGAAAGGAAGGAGGAACATGTTTCATTTTATATCTGTCCTCCCTGCTTTCACTTCTCTCTTATATTGTGTGTATACTTTTTGAGTGTTTTTTTTCATCTTATGTTCAAGGTTATTTAAGTGTTCGACTTCTTCTGTAACTATCCACAGGACTACTTTGAAAGTTATCTGGCCATTGCCTCCACGGTGCCCTCTGTGCTCAGTCTGATACTCAACTATGTCCTGGTTAACAAGTCAGTCACACACGCACGCACGCACACACACACTTTGAAAAGCATCTGCAGCCGATAACATATTGTATAATAAGTATTATAATTATTACATGTGCACAAATCTCACATATGTCCTTCAGCACAGTTTGTTAAATGTGCATATGTAGTTTTGTTTACTGATCTTGTGAAAAACTCCTAGCACTTGTCTCTCTGTGTATGTTGTGGGTAGGGTGTCCTCAAACGTGCGGATCCTGTCCTCCCTTTTTGTGATCCTGCTGGTGTTTGTGGTCACCACGGTGATGGTGAAGGTGGACGTGTCTGACTGCAGGACGGAGTTCTTCATCGGCACGCTGGTCAGTGTGGCTGTGGTCAGCGCAGCCTCCAACGTCTTCTCTGGCAGCATGTTCGGCATCAGTGGGCACTTCCCCATGAGGATCTCTCAGGCTCTCATATCAGGTACAGTCAGTCTTTATAGCATTTAGACAGTATCATCATATAATATATGTTTTCTCAGAAGAAAAACATGTCATTTGTAATCAAAGCAAATCTGATATGTTTAGGGGGGTTGAAGTGTTGTTGTGCAATACCAATTATGTGCAATATGTGTGATATATATATATATATATATGCGCCATTAATAACGGTGCAATATATACCTGGCTGCTAGATCTCAGAACTGTTACAGGATGTGTATTTTGTATCTTCAATATTTTTTAATGCATGCTTCTTGGGTAATATTTAGCTGTCCATGGCTTTTTTCTTGCTGTAACTAATGCAAATTTCCCCTTGAATAAAGGGATTCTGATTCTGAATCGTTTTGCAAGCCCCTGTGTGTATAATGCAAGATTAGTACATATGCCTGTTTGCACGTACAGAACAGGTAAAAGCAAAGATAGAAAAAAATATGAAAATATGAAAAGAAAAGTCAAATTCCTGGGTAATTCTTTAATGTTGGCCCTCTGTCTCCATCAGCTCTCTTCTGTACTTTCTAATAAGACCAAGAAAGATGAATTTATAGTAACATAGGATATGTGAAGGTAATTGTACCTCTTGTTAACGGACTGCACAATACTGTCCATAACCTGAGGTCCTTGTTGTCTCAGGCCAGGCCATGGGGGGCACTCTGAGTGCTCTAGCATCAATAGTGGACCTGTCCGTGGCGAAGGATGTGACGGACAGCGCTCTCGCTTACTTCCTCACAGCCGACGTCTTCATCCTGCTCTGCATCATCGCATATCTGCTGCTGCCCAAGTTTGCATACACTAGGTCAGTACCAGGCAACCATTGAGTATGTTCCTCGCATTACACGTGTAAATGATAACACCTTCCCTTGTCCTGTAACATTTACTTGAATCTGAATACGAAAGATTTACCATACAGGGTGCATTATCTGGCACTGTCATTCCTCATACCACCACCAGAGGGTGCCAAAGATACACATGTTACCTTCTTACCGATTACAGACACTTTGTTTTTGCGTTTTAAGGCACAGTCCCACCTAGTGTCAGCAGAAAGTATTAAAAATAATGATTACCAAATAATAAATAAAAAAAAATATAAAATATATTTTAAGATCATGTTTAATCATCTGATTCGTCTGAACATTGATGTTTTAGTCTGTGTTCTTCTAATTAGTGTATACAGTGTGTGCCTATTGCGCTGTTTAGAGCCATGTGGGACAAAACCCGATTCATGCCCTCCCTCTCACTGTCTAAGTGAACGGTGACTGTAAAAACGACACTGCACATGCTCAGAGTATTGGCCTATTTAATGTGTGTGGCAAAAAAATAATGACCATAGGGGCAGAGTGCTGCCATCCCCACCATACGTCATCTCACATCATTCAGAGCTGATTGGTAAATGGACTGTACTTATATAGCGCTTTATCCAGTCTTTAAGACCCCTCAAAGCGCTTTACATACTACATGTCATTCACCCATTCACACCCATTCATACAGAGCAGTGTACCTTACTCTAGGACCTAACATTCACACACATTCACACACCGTTGGCCATGCCATCGGGAGCAACTCAGGGTTAAGTATCTTGCCCAAGGATACATCAACATGTTGACTGCATGGGCTGGGATCGAACCCACAACCTTCTGGTTGAAAGACGACCACACTCCCTCACAGCCACAGTCGCCCCTGATTGGCTGTAAGTACGTGTGGTGTGTGAAGAGGAGGAGAGAGACGCGTCCCAAAACCAGGAAGTAAGCTGCGCATGGNTAGTGGTTTTAGATCAGGACCTGGTCTAATGTGGTCTAGATTTAAAAAAAAAGCATCAAAATCTCCCTTTTTGTATTTTCACAAATAGAATTAAGGTTTCACAAATCTGAAACTGTGTTATAAAGAATCTTTAGCCTCCGTGGGATAATCCAGTCCAGATTTGATGAGTCTAGGTATAGTGGTTTCAGATCAGGACCTGGTCTAATGTGGTCTACATGTAAAAAAAAAAATTAGCAAAATCTCCCTTTTTTGTATTTTCATAAATAGAATTAAGGTTTCACAAATCTAGAACTGTGTTATAAAGAATCTTTAGAATCTCTTGGATAATCCAGTCCAGATTTGATGAGTCTAGGTATAGTGGTTTCAGATCAGGACCTGGTCTAATGTGGTCTACATGTGAAAAAAGCACTGAAATCTCCCTTTTTTGTATTTTCACAAATAGAATAAAGGTTTCACAAATCTGAAACTGTGTTATAAAGAATATTTAGCCTCTGTGGGATAATCCAGTCCAGATTTGATGAGTCTAGGT